GGCTTTAACAAGGCTTTAATAAGCTAAAAAATAGAGGTACATGAAAAAATGTGTTCATAACGAATGAAAATAAATAATTAAATAGCGTCCATGCCGGTCTTAAACCCTGGTCTCCTGCTCTCTGGTCCAACACTCTACCCATTGCCCTATTGGAGGCTTGTTGTGAAATGAGCTGCACATTGCACAACAACACGGCGATGGCTTTTTATACTGAGGAGGTGGAGTTTCACCCGGGGGGTTGCTAGTTGAGGACGCAGGTTCCGGTGGGTTGCCGTACGGCTTGTGACATCACAAAATGACGGAAGTATAAAACTTGTCGTTAATATACATTAAAAATACATTTACTTACAGTAAATATGCCCCTGGGTGCATTTTTTTGGTCCTAGGACTGTTTTTTTAAGAAGTACATACCCAAAGTTGAGTAAAATACCTTTAAAAAGTGAATTTTGCATAATAGGTCCCCTTTAAAACATTCTTGCAAACAGGCCAGTTATTGGACCATTTTTCACTCAGCACCCATCCTACTTGCTTCAACAAATCAGTTCTAGTTTCTGAACTTCTAAAGGAGAGTTTGTGATGGAAAACAAGTTCCAAAAACAACAGAGAGCTTAAATGGGGGACTGACAAAATTCTGGAAGTGGGATACAGCTGCACAGTGGCTAGTTTAGGTTTGGTAGCAGCCATGTTGAAAAAGGTTTTGTTTTGACTACTTGCACAACAAGATGAAAATAAAATATCCCCTTTAACTGCTATTGATAGTGGTAGTGCACTAAATGCTACATTTTAGATGATGCATCATAAACTAGATTGCAAATGTCTTTGCAGCACTTTGATGTAAATCCTCCTTCATGTTTTGTGTTTAGATAGTGGAACGTGACCTGCAGACCTCCCTGGTCCTCGAGGATGACCTTCGTTTTGAGGTTTTCTTCAAACGTCGTCTTCAGGCTCTGCTGCAGGAGGTGACAACACACAAGCTGGACTGGGATCTCATGTGAGTGAAGTTTCGTGAACAGACTGGAAAAAAAAAGTCTGGTAAACAAAGGATTAGCTTGCTTTCTGCTGGCATTCATCCATCTGTCACACATGATATCTCTTCTYTCAGCCAAATGTCAAAATTACTTGTGGGAATGTGGCATTGTAACATTCAGTCATCACTGTCCTGAAACAACATCTGGTAAAATAACAAATAACTCCTGACTGAAGCATGTACATGTTTGATTCAAAGTAATGACATCAGTAGTTATTGGGTAATGTCTTATTTTTGTTTGTCACTGCCTTTTTATGAAACRTTATTTACTGCAAACATTTACAGATGTGACATTTTTCAACTTAACTGACAGGAATTTAAAATGTTTAAAATTATTATAAACTTTTAAAAGATTTACTTTTTCACATCTATGTTAGGAAACAATCATGGTATGAAAGAGAACCAGGGGAGGATGATTCAACCACTCAACCACTAGATGTCGCTGAAAACAACAAATCCTACACACTGTGCCTTTAATAACTTCATGATAAAATATTTGTCACCTGCTGCCAATAAAGAGATAATCTACTCGTAGGTGTCTTTATTACTTATTTTATTTTGAATGTACTTACTTACTGACTCCTTCCTTTCAGTTATATTGGACGGAAAAGGATGCAGGTTGACCACTCAGAGAAATCTGTCCCCAACATCCACAACCTGGTGGAGGCAGATTACTCCTACTGGACTCTTGGCTACATGTTGACATTACAAGGAGCCCAAAAACTCCTCAGAGCTGAACCTCTGAAAAAGATGCTTCCTGTTGATGAGTTCCTCCCTGTGATGTACAACAAACATCCAATGTGAGTAAACCACAGCTGTGATTTCTTTCTTTTTTTTTTTGTTTGTTTGCTCATCTGATTGCATCTCCACATTCCTGTCACTCYTCAGTTTGGAGTACATGGATCACTTTGAGCACAGAGACCTACACGCTTTCTCTGCCGAGCCGCTCCTGGTGTTTCCGACCCATTACACGGGAGATCTGGGCTACATCAGTGACACAGAAACGTCAGTGGTGTGGGACAACGAGACGGTCAAAACAGACTGGGATCGAGCCAAGTCGAGGAAAACTCAGGAACAAGGAGAGCTGAGCTTTAAGGCCCAGAACTCTGACGTGCTGCAGTCTGAACTGGAGAACTGGAGCGCACGGGACGAGCTGTGATCAAGAAGTTCAAACAGGAAGTGGAAAAGAACTCTGTACAGTAAAAAGGGAGGTAGAACACAGCTGTGATAGCAGGTGCAGCCATAGATGATTGACACCTGCTTAATGAGGGGAAATGGTTTCTTACTAATGGCTCTTTCTCTCAGGAGATTAGATGTAGAGTTAACTCTTGAAGAGTCAACTAACAGTATTTGTTTTATTTATTGCATCAGTCTGKTTCAAAAATACTTTTCAAACTACATACATTTGAATGTACATGAATGTTTGCATCTTCAAACCATTAAACCTTTCCATAATTATATCTTAAAACTTAATGTTTTTGGTTAAAATTGGAGAATTTCTTATATGAATTATTATTGCATTTCTGTTTGTACAGACAAAAATGCTTCACTAGAAGAAACCAACCACCCTCCCCCCAACATATTCTTTATTTTCTCCTTCCCTGTTCCAACATGTGACTTGTTACAAGTGGCTGCAGTCAGTTTGACCAACATATTAATATTTTTAGGATTTATTCAGAAAATTATTTTGTCTTGGCATTATTTCTTTTCAAATCATCTTTTGACACTTGGAATTGTCTTTTGATGCATTTGGGGTTCCCTAAAAACCCCAGCTCTTTGTATTTTATTGTTTATGTCTAAAGTTTGTTTGCATTATTGAATGTATCTGTTTTATCACCAAAGCATTCTCACCTTTGTACAACAGCAGATTGACATTTAGCTGTTTTTATTGCAGCTTTTGTTGCATGTTTGTCAAAATAAAAGAAAATAGATTTTTAGAAACCTCTGATAGTTTGACATTTTTGTTTCTTTTACCTGAAGGAATATATAAAGCCATTATTGTTAAAAGCTTATTTGGCTGACATACGTTGAACTATTTACATGGAGGACTGAAACTGATACTTAAAATGCACCAATTAAAAAAAGGAGAACTTTACCTCTTGTTTTATAATTTAATTGACCTTCATATTTATTTTTCCAGCTTAGTTCCAATAAATTATATTTTAGCACAAAATTTGTTTTACTGTTTACAATTAAAAAATATATATACTGTGTTTATATATATATATTTTTCCTTTTATTTGTACATGAATTTGTTTCTCTTAGAATTTTACATTTTTTTTCTCCCCACGCCCTTTTATTTCCATACATCTTTACATCTCTCTGTCTTCCGTTCTTACTTTACCTTATGCATTCTTCCTCATCCAAAAAGGGGGCGGTCCTTCTTGGGTCAGCTTCTCTCCTATTGGTCAACAGACAGGAAGGAGCAGGATCCATGTGCAGATCTACTGTGCATGGTTTTGCTGCCTCAGTTTAGCTTAAAGTTTAGTTAAAAACAAAGGCAAGAAGGAAAAACACTTACCTGTTTCTTTGTTTTGAACTAAATTTTAAGACATCACAATCATGCACAGATCCTGCTTTTTCCTGTTGACTAATGCTCCTTTTCCACTAGCACCTCAGCAGCACTGTTTGACGTAGCTTTCTGTGGTTCCAAAGATTTTCAACTAGCAAGGATTCATGGCACCACTCCTGTTTTCAGAACTTACTTTGCTGTGGTTGTAAGTGTACCATACTGTGCTGGCCTGAAAATGTAATGTCAGAAAACTGTCAGTCATTGATTGGTTAGTGGGTGGAGGAGTCCCTCATTGTGCCACTCACAACAACCCAATCCACCATTGGCAATAATAACACTACCATGTCCTCAAATATTGTGTTGTCTTCTTCTATGTTTAATGGTGGCTGGCTAATAGCTTAATGAAGCATAACCACCAGCAGCATGGGAAGGTGTGTGATGACAATTTCTTGACTCTGAGACCAGAGTAACTCAACAGTGTTTACAATGACTATGTTACCTTGGGAGGGTGGAAGGCCGGTGACAAAATCGAGAATGATGTGAGACCAGGGTCGCCCAGGAGTGGGTAGAGGCTGTAAAAGTCCAGAGGGGGGTCGGTTGCCACTCTTGCATCTGGCGTAGGTGGGACGGGCTYCAAAATATTCTTTGACGTTTGCAGACAAGGTAGGCCACCAAAAATATCTTGCAGCTAGAGAATGCATGCAGCTAACACCAGGGTTGCAGGACAACTGGCTGGTGTGGAGCCAATCCAATACTTCACTTTTTACAGAAGAAGGGACATAAAGCCTACCCTGTGGCCCATCACCAGGGTCGGGCTCAGTCCTCTGAGCTTCTAAGATGTCCTTCTCTATAGACCAAGTGAGGGCCCCCACGAAGCAGGATGAGAGGATGATATTTTCCTCTTTTGGTTGTTCTAAAAAAGAGAACTGATGGGACAACGTGTCTGGTTTGACATTTTTTAAGCCTGGTCTGTAAGTTATTGTGAAGTTGAATCAACCAAAAAACTGTTGTGGCKTGTCGTGGATTTAATCTCTTGGTGTTCTGTAGGTATGAGAGGTTTTTGTGGTCTGCGCCCTCTAGCCAGTGTCACCACTCCTCAAGGGCTAACCTAATAGCGAGAAGCTCTCTGTTACCCACATCATAATTTCTCTCTGCAGGGGATAAGTGGCAAGAAAAGAAGGTACAGGTGTGGATCTTGTTGTCAGTGTCTGATTTCTGAGAAAAAATTGCTCCAACTCCTGTGTCTGAGGTGTCAACTTTGACTATGAATTGTTTCGCTGGGTTAAGATGTCTGAGGATGGGTGCAGAGATGAACGGTGCCTTTAACTCACCAAACACAGTCTACCTCAGTGCATTTGAATGCCTTTAAAGTTGAGGTGAGTTGAGTGAGCAGGGCCGCCACCCGGCTGTAGTCCTTGATAAACCAGCGGTAGAAGTTAGCAAAGCCCAGGAATCGTTTGAGCTGGCATTGATCTGAAGGAATAGGCCACTCTGCCACTGCTTTCAATTTGTTGGGGTCAGTRTGAAAATATCCTTGACCAAAAATAAACCCAAGAAAGAGACAGAGGATATGTAAAACTCACATTTATCAGCTTTTGCAAACAGTTGATTTTCATAAAATCACTGTAGGGCAGCACAGACGTGTTGACAATATTGAAGTGGSTCTTTAGAGTAGATCAGAATGTTGTCCAAGTAGACAAACACAAAAATGTTTAAAAAATCATGAAGAACATTGTTAAGGGATTGGAGAACAACTGGCGCATTGGTTAAGCCAAAATATATCACAAGATACTCAAAATGACCAGAGTTTTGAAAGCAGTTTTCCATTTGTCCCKCTCTTAATTCCTACCAAATGGTAAGCATTTCTCTGAAAAATCATTTAAAAAGTCAAATGATTATAAAAAACATCTTTTAACTCAATGGAAAACCTCAAGGTACGCACAGTGCATGCAGCCGTACAGCTGCAAGCGCCTCTGCTCTCTTACAGACAAAGGCACAATACTGAAATTCATGCATTTGTCAGTCAGAGCCTCTATGAGATGACCCACACTCAGGCATTTGGGATAAAGCTCATGGCCATTCACCATGTGGAGAGGAGCCCTACATGAAATGCACCCCAGCATTCCAAACAGAAGTGGGAAGTGCAGGCAGGTACCACAACAAGGAAACTGAGCAGGAACTTCACTAAAACTCAAGAATGCTACCAGAGTCCTCTATTTAATTTTAGATTGTTGCCACACATCCACGTGTGTGCCTGTCAGGCAAACTGAGCYAGAACTTCAATAAAACTGAAGAGCYATCAGAGTCCTTTGTTTAAAGCAATAGAGTGCCTGCCAGGTAATCCGAACAGAACTGAAAACAACGCTGCAGAACCTTTAGCCACTCACCAGCTGCACACTCTTCCCCACCTGCTGCTGACGCGGGAAAAAACGTCAGCCAGCCCTGTCAAATCCAGAAGSGGATGAGATGTCTTATTCCAGACACACCCACCAACAGAAAGAAATAGAAAGATACACGCCAACCACAGCCCTAAAGGGCTACAAAGAGCACTCCGACTAATAAGTCACAGTCACCCCAAACGTGTGCTCACTTCTCTCAGACCTGCTGAAACCAARAAGAACCAAAACATGGACTTATGGGAGCGATCAACCTGCAAAGCATGGCGTAAACCACAAGAATATCAAGGAGACCAATGTAGTGTGCTATTTATAGATGCGCGCCCAGGTGAAATAGTATCACGTACACAATTTTGTTTACATCAAATCTCTACCTGCATGAAGCGTGAGGAGACATATCCACTCTGTTTAACTGCCAGTGGCAGTCAGGAAGGAATGAAACAGAACAATACATGAAAAGCTAAGTAAATAACCAGTTTACATRGTTTATTAGGAGGAACTACTTTGTGGGGTGAATGAAGTTTGAGGCTGTGCCCCACCAGRCCTTATGGACTGACTGCGCCTGATTTAGAGTTACCAAATAATCTAACATATGTTTTTGTTTAGTACTGGAGTACCTGAAGAAAACCCATGTAGGCTATGCATGAGGAGAACATATGACCTACACAGAAAAACTGGGAGGTGAACTTGTCYCATTTTAACCATGRTGGTCATGCTGCCCTGTTTGTGTGTCTTGTGACAAATATCTCARGAATTACTAAACAGATTTTATTAAAACTTTCAAAATATATTCAATTGATGCAAATTGACAACAGATTATCCTTTGGAGTCAACACAATTMACCATTGCTGCCACAGCTACAAGTCCTTTGTGAACACAAAAATAGTTGRAACTCAATCAGTTTTTACTTCTGCTGAGCTAAAATTTGAAGTGTTTGTAGCCAAAAATCATGCCAAGCACACACTCTAAACACAAAGTGATTTTCTGTTTTTAAAACTTTGGCAATAAATATTGGTGTTAGTTGTGTCCATCTATTAGCAAAATACCTTATGATCCACTGAACATACATGTCAAGTTGTACAGATCGTCCATAAGGTACACAGACTTCTCTCCATTTTGCAGGTATATAGACATAGGGCAATCTCACAGATTTTTTTCCCGACAATTCAGCTTCAAAATTATTTTACATCTCAGAGCCTAAACAAACAAACAACAAACAAACAAACAATCAAAACAAACAAACAAACAATAAATAAAATCAAATGGCCATCTCCCAACCC